CCAGAAGCCTCGCCCCCGAGGCCCCGCCCCCTATACACCAACCGGGAGACGCCGCGCCCTCTCCTCGGAAGGTGCCGTTCCATCTTAGTACCTTCGCCCTCTCCTTGGAGGCCCCGCCCGAAGCCTCGCGCCACGACCTCTCCCCGGGAGGTGCCGTTCCATCTTACTAACCTCCCATTGTCCTCGGGAAACCCCGTCCCCGAGGCCCCGCGCCGCGCCCTCTCCCCGGCAGGCGCCGTTCCATCTTAGTAACCGCGTCGCCTCCTCTGGAGGCGCCGCCCTAGAAGCCCCGCCCCGCCCAGGACCCGCGCCTTCTCTGGGTCCGAGCCCCGCGCGTTGCGATCCGTGTGAGCCCGCGTCGCGCCCCGCCCACCGAATAGAACGCGAGGCTCCTGCGCCGGGCCTTAGCAACCAGTGTTCACAGCCCTGCAGGAGACCCCGTCCCCTGGACCGCTCAATCCGAGCTCCGCCTTCCCGCGGAAGACCCCGTCCTCCTGGGATCTGGGCCCGGTTTTCTACCGAGTTTCCCAGGTCTCTGAGCTGGCCGGGTGAGTCCGAAGCCCCACCCCTCAAACCGCGGGTCAGCGCCGTCGCACCTGTGCTCACCTGGGTTCCTCCCTGGTTCTCAAGCCGCGTGAACCCGCAGCTGAGGCCAGATCAGCGGAAAATCCAGGTCTGAAAGGTGGTCCCTCTTCTCTCGGTTAAAAGTGTGCCGGGGAAGCCGTCCTCTCCCTCTACCCCGCCCCAGGCCTCTTAGGAGTGGCCCAACACTGTTTCTCTCCTGTCCTCTGATTCCCCGGGGTCCCCTCAGAAACCTCCCAGTCCCCATGGCTCTTCCCTCCCCTACTCTCCACGCCTGGCGGCACTCCTTCCCTGACAGGCCTCACCCTCCAGCTGCCATGGGAACTGAGCAGAACCATCTCCCTCAGGCCACCCTCATTTCCTAAGAGTCTTCCCACATTCTTCCCTCTGTCTCCATGCTCCTCAGAACTCATAGTCAGCCACCATAGCCCACTCCTCCTCTTCATCTCAGTCTCTGGGACATTCCTGCACTCCAGAAACACTGGGCCTGATTGTGGGTGACAGCCTCACTTCCCTCTCGACCCCTGACTGTGGGTGGCAGCCTCACCTCCCTCTCAAACCCCGTGCTCCATGCATCTTGGTGGAAAAAGCTTGCGGTTCCCCTGAACACCCTGACCTGTTCAAAAGTGAACATTTGAGGCTGAGGGAGTCTCTGTGGCAGGGGACATCCCTCCATTCACCAAATGCCAATAGCGTGCACACGCGTGCACACGCGCACACACACACCACACACACCACACACACCACACACACACAGTTGTGACAACCAAGCACGTCTCCAGACATTACCAAGTGTCCAAGAATACCACCATCAGAGCTCTAGGTTGAGGGAGGCTTCCTGAAGGTCCACGGTCTTTCTGCCTTTCTTTCTCCTGCTGGAATTGGAGAGCAAAAGGGCCTGGTGCGCTTCAGTTCAGTGGCAGGAGCTCAGGAGTTCCACCTGCAGCTCAGGAACTTCACTTCATTGGAGAGAGGCCACCAGGGGCTTCCCTTCCCTGACGACCAGCCCTCCTCCTGGTGCCCCGCGCCCATAGCCAGCATGCCTCTTCCCCATGCTGGTCGTTCTGCTGGCTCTGCCTTTAACCCTGGGCAGTTTGCATGCTGCCCTTGGCGCCCATTCTTTCGCTGCGCTCTTGCACCCTCATTCCTCCTCTGCCTTGAAGTCAGCTTGGTGGGTGCCTCTCTGACCCCCAGGGCCAGCCTGGGGCACCTATGTGGCTGCAACTCCCTCTTCTCTTGCGTGTGTTGCTAGTGACTTTGATGCTGTGTCCCAGCCAACTACCACCTTGATATCTCCTTATTCAATGAGTGAAGAAAGGAGTTGGTGTGGGAAATTTGAGTCCAGGCTCTAGGCTGGTGACTGTGGATTTGACTGCAGTTTAGGGACTCATCCCCGAGGTCCCACTCTGGCCTCGAGTCATCCTGGACCAACACACCCAGCCCTTGCCCAATGTCTCAAGGACCAAGGGGGCTGAGCTAGATGAGTTCAGCCCTCTACAGGCAAGGCTGAGGATGAGGGCTGTTAACTTCCACCTGGCTGTGCCCCAGCTCTCCATGAAGACACCTCTTTGATGCACATCCCCTCCTCTGGTGGGCATGCCAAGCAGCCTGGGCATTCCCCTCCTGAATGTCTGCACCTGGCTAACTTAATTGGACCCCAGTTTCCTAACCCTCAGCTTCCACCCAGCATTGTTGTCTGGAGAAACAGCACTACGTAGCAGGCACACACACCCTTTGATGGTGATGTGTTCCAGATGAATGAGCTGACCCTGACCCTCCCTATACCCACAGGGAGCCGATGCTGTGACAACCTATTTCCCAGATGTTCTTGTTGATCAAATCTGCCCCAGCCCTGGAACCCCTGCAATGCCCCGGTATCAGATACAGAAAGAGGGGGTTCCAGCACCCCAGTGGCTGTGCCACTTCTCACTGCACTGACCACAGAGAACGCCATCACACACACTTCCAGCAGAATGACTGAGCATGTGACAGTCAGCTCATCTGCTTAGCATCACACCTTCTCCACCCCAGAACATTCATGACAAACACCAGACAAGGGCTTGGGCTCCTTCACCAGTCTCCTCAGGACATTCCTGCTCCCCCTAATAGCACTCCTAATAGCGCTCTGATGTGGGGAGCACTGGGTTGAAGTCCTAGCCAACGTATACCTGGAAGGTCAGTCACAGCAGGGCCAAGGCAAAGCTCACAGACAAGGTGGCCCTTGTCACATGGGACCCATGGGGGACCCAAGCTGGCTCCAGTACCCCAGTAACCCAGACAGCCCTTGGGGTATCCTCAGTCCTGCCTCATGTGGGTGTGGGAGGATTACACTGGGCCCTTTTCCTCATGTCTTTCAGTAAAACATTTACTCTGTCACCTGGGGCTCAAAAGCAAAGGGTTTAAGAGTGGCATCAAAGCAGATGGCCAGGCAGGAACTCCAGAAAGCACTCCTGCCCTGGATAGTGATGAAACTAAAAGGAACTGTCTTGAGCAACAATTCTGCAACTCTGGAGCCTAACAGGCTTCCTGCAGCACCCAGGAGGCAGCATGATAAAGACGATTAATTCAGTCAGTATCAGTCAATTTCTACCTTTATGGTAACAGCTCCCACCCCAAATCCCCCAACCCAGCAACAAACAGCCACGGGGCAGTGGCACACAGGCCTAAGTCACAACTGTACCAGTCACAACAGCCAAAGGAGGAAATAACCCAAACACCCATCTCAGATGAGCAGATACCCAAAATCCATACAGCGGAGTATTAGTCATAAAAAGGAATGAAGCTTTGACAAATGCTCTGAGGTTGGTGCACTTTGAAAATATTATGCTCAATGAAAGAAGCCACCAATGGGGATGGAACTGGAAGACACTAAGTGAAGAGAAATGAACCAGGCACAGAAAGTTAAATACTGTGTGCTCTCACATGTGGAAGCTAAAAAAGTTGATCTCATAGAAGTAAAAACTAGGACAGAGGACGACACTGGAGTCTGGGAAGGGCAGGGGAAGGGGTCAGGAGAAGTGTGCTAAAGAACACAAAATTACAGCTAGATAGGAGGAATAAGTTGTAGTGATCTATAGCACTGTCATGACTGCAGTCAACAATAATACATAGTTTCAAATAAATAGGAGGACACTGAATGTTCCCAACACACAGAAATGACAGATGTTTGAGATGATGGATGTGCTCATTACCCAGGTCTCATCACCATGTGTGTGGAAACGTCACGGTGTTCCCCGTGAATGTGTACAATTATTATGTCCAATTAAAAAATGAAAATTAAACTTTTTTTAAAAAAAGAAAGAAGCCAGACACAAAGGCCACGTGTCTAAATGGATTCATGAATTCATTTACATGAAGTGTTCAGAAGAGACAAACCCATAGAGACAGGAATCTCACAGAAGCAAGCCCCCAAGGAGCCTGTGGCTGCCTGGGGTGGGAGCTGGGAGGTGGAGGAGTGACCACTAACATGCAGGGGTTTTCTTTGGGGTCTGGATGTGCTCTGAAACTAGACAGTAATGGTACCTGCCCAACCTTGTGAATAAGCTAAAAGCCATTTGATTGTGCCCTTGAAATGGGAGAATTGTATGATATATGACTTGTATCTCATTAAAGCTGTTACACATGTTTTTGTTGTTGTTGTTTTTTTTTTTTGAGTTGGAGTCTCACTCTGTCACCCAGACTGGAATGCAGTGGCCGCTCCCGGCCACCGCAGCCTCGACCTGCTGGGTTCCGACAATCCTTCCGCCTCAGCCTTCCAAGTAGCCGGAATTACAGGCATGCGCTACCACGCCCGGCTGATTTTTTGATTTATTGTAGAGATGAGGTCTCGCTGCCCAGGCGGGTCTCAAACCCGCAGGCTCAGGCAATCCACTCACCTCAGCCTCCCAAAGGCATGGGATACATGTTTTTTTAAAGCTTACAGTTCCAGCATTTGCTTCAAGGAAGCTGGTAGCAAGGCACGGAGGTGGAGGTGGCAGGGCCAGAAGCCGGGCTGCAAGAGGGTGTGCAGGGCTTGCTGAGATCTCTACTTACCTCCAGACAGGAACAGGTGGGCTAAGCACCGGGTCCCAGGTGCCAAGGAGCCTATCTGTGAGGGTGCCTGCAGAACGGCTAGCCTAGATGTCACTGGCCATGTATGGCCATTGATGAGAAAGCTGGGCCCCCATGCTCAGCAGAAAACCCTGGCGGGTCTG